TCCATGAGTGAGAACAATGAGGCTGTGAGCCAATAGACTCTATTCCCTGGATATGATAGAAACGGATGTCCCATCTCACGTGTTGGCTTGCCAGGGGAAGAGCTGTGAGTTTAGGGTCCAGAGGCACTTTGTCTTTGTGCTCGTACTTGAGGTACCCGTAGGTACCTTAGGAGGTAGGAACAGACTATACCCCACTTTCCTCATCCCAACTCAGCGTTATCCGTCGCGTGGGAAGGAGCTCTATTACCACCGGCACGGCAGGAAGAGGCTCGGCTCACGTGCATGCCTACGTAAGTACATAGTAGTAAGGTACCTACAAGACGCCCAACCCACAGCACATGGTAGCACTCGTACGAACCGCTCATATGTTCTCTCTTCGTGCCTAGTATGTACCTGGCCTTACCGGACTGGTCCAGATGCAGCGCCTCGAGTCCAGCAAATCGAAATCAGGCCAAATCCCCCTCTTCGCGTCTCGGGTTTTGCAAGAATGCTGCTTAGTCAAATGCCAAACACCCAAGGAAAAGAAAGCCTACCTAGGTAAATGTTGATCTGTGCTCCGTACCGACCTGGTGATACTTTGCTGTAACAGTACTAGCGCACGTCCCCCAAAGTCGCTTCGCCCCTTCTGTCGCAAGCTTCACGTTTCCAGCTCTTGACCGTCAGTGTTTCAGATCTTCGCATCGTGTTCCTGCGCCAGCCTCAGAAGCCGCTGAGACAGACGTCGATCAGGGTCATCTATCGCTGCCTTGGGTCTTCTACATCAGATTAGCAGTTAGGTATGTATCACCGACAGCTCAACCCGCAGCCCCGGCCGTTGCTCTGCTCTTCCGCTGCCCCGCGATCACAGACAGACGAGACGTGGCGGCGGAACTGGCTCTACCTTAGTTCTGACCGTGGTCTTGATTCTTATTCAGCGATGCTCATACTGCCTTTGTCTTAGGAGCCGCCTCCATCGTCGCCCTTTCGTTACCCCGGCCATGAAGTCCGCGCCGCTGCCAATTGGTTGATATCGTGTCTTCACTCCTCGTCTTCGTCGGCGGCCCGCCCCCCTTGCCAACAGAGTCCCGAGCTGGCTCTGCTCCGGCGTTGTCTACAGCCAGTCCACCGTCGCAACGACCAGACATTCATCGTGCCGAGCGTTAGGGGCGCAGGCAGTTCTCAGGAGCTGTAGCAGCTGCTGGTCCATCTCTCATAAGACTGCGAGGAAGCTGGCTGCTCGGTGCCGGGGCTATCGTGCTCCATGGATGCCGCTCACATTTTCCGGCAAGGTCTGGGCACCGTTGCTCCCCGTCCGAACCACGTCTACGCTCCGCCGCGGAACCTGGTCCAGAGTCCCGACGACTACTTCGACGGCGATTCCTCGAGCCACCGTGTTGCCCACACGCTGACTGCATGCTGTCGTTGTCGCCAGGTATGTTAGGATGGCTACCCCGCCCCCCTCGCGCGAAGCTCACCTTGCTTCAATCTGTGTTCCGCATCTGTAAATTATGCGTGCCAGCGATGGTATTGGAGAGAAGACTAACGGTATCATCTGGCAGCGAAAAACGAGATGCGACCCTACGCTGCCCCGCTGCCTTCCCTGCGAGAGATCGGGATCCGTTTGCGAATACCTCGACGCCGCCAAGGGCCGCAAGATCAATCGCCGCTATGTCATCACGCTGCAGGACAAAGTTCGAGCCCTCGAGGCCGAGCTGGGCCAGTATACCGATGAAGATGGTGACCATCCTCCGACAAGCGAAGAACTGGTCCGTCCAGGGGGCATGATCCGTCTCAAAGGCAACGACGAGACACCGCGATATCTAGGGCCGACGAGCGGCATCGCCATGACACGACTACTCATGGCCGAGGCTAAGCGCTACACCGATACCAACAAGATTTCCGACCTCATCCCTGAGGTTCGAGCCAGGAGCCAGGCGCGCATGCAGTCCATTCAAATGACAAGCTCGGGCAGCAATAGGAAGAAGAGTTACCCGATGGTCAGCGAATGCCCGGCTGAAGGGCTTCCTACGCGGCCGGTGACCGATAGGCTGGTGGAGATTTATTTCAAGAGAGGTATGCCTGAAGCATCTGCCCCTCTCCAGCGCATGCTTATACCCAGTACTCATGTCTTCCAGCTCAAGTTCACTGGCCTGTGCTCCACGAAAAGGTCTTCCAAGCAGACGTTGACGCTGTCTACAATGGCGATACGGATGTCTACAGAAATTTTGTCATCCGCATGGTCATCGCCGTTAGCTTGCAGAAACTGGACACGCAATATGCCGGATTGGCCGACGGGTACTACATGGCGGCGATGAAATACGTTGAAGAAGTCATCCGTCCCAAAGACCTCAAGACGCTGCAGTGCCTCATCCTCATCGGCCAATACTCGCTGCTCACGCCGACGCGAACGCCGGTGTACTACGTTATCGGACTTGCTACCAGGATATGTCAACAGGAGGGATTGACGGATGAGAAGACCATCACATCGGGCTACAATCTGGACCCTCAGATCATCGATATGCGCCGGAGACTTGTGTGGATCATCACGACGATGGAGTTTGGGCTCTCCTACTACATGGGTCGTCCCAGTGCATTCGCCGTCAACAGCGACCGTCTGAACGTAGAGTTCTTTTCCGTGGTCGACGATGCAAACATTACGCCCCAAGGCATCGTGCCCGGGCCGCCCAACCCTCGGAAGGTTGCTACCATTCACTTTTACAAGATGACGAATCCCCAGGCGGAGATTAAGAGAACTCTCTACGAAAGGAAGAGGCCCGAGCCTAGAACAGATGATCATCCTTGGTTCCAGAAGATGGAACAGACGCTGAGGGATTGGCTGGACTCGGCACCGCAAGAGCCTGTATGGGCCAAGTCCTGGTAAGCTGACCATTTGCTATGCATTCTACTTGAGGAGCTGGATGCTGATTTTAAACCACAGGATTACTGGTTTCTACCACCAAATGAGGGCTTTGCTATACAGGCCTTCCCCCCAAATCCCACAGCCGTCGGCTCGTGCAGCCCAAATCTGCTACGAGTCCTCTGCGGCCACGATTGATCTATCGTCGAAGCAAATAGGGAGCGACACTGTGGATATCTCTTGGGTGTTTCTCCTGACCTTGAACCTGGCTCTCAGCACACTTCTCTGGACGATATCATACCCCGAAGTCCGACGCAATCACCCCCGGGAAGAGGTCGAGGAGCTGGTGAACACAGCGCTGGAGTCTCTGGACCGATGTGCAGAGCGCTGGCCCGGGACCGCAGCCACATCACAGCTGTACACCATTTTTGCCAAGGCTTGCATGCAGAGCTACGATGTACAGGTGAAACTCGAAAAGGAACCATTCTCCTTCAGCAGCCCCCCGGCGACAGCCGAGTCTCAGTCCTCGCCCGAAGGCTACGCTCAGTCAAACGCCACCACACCCCGACCTCTCACCTACCTTAACCCTCCGACCTTTGGATACGTTTTCGACTCATCCCCCGAATCCATGAACAATTACGCTTTTGATCCCAACTACCCTCCTCCGCAGCCCACATTCCGTTCAAACTCCATCTTCTGTAACCCGGCTACCGACAATGGCAACCGACGGTTCTCCTACTTTCCCCCTGATGTCACCCACATGGGAGAAACCGGTCAGGAGGATCCCTCTGCCCACGGTATCCCTGTGCCGGACCACATACCCCATCATCTACAGTCACAACCCGAGTCGTTTATCCAATCCCACATGCCCACGCCTCGACCGACCCTGTCTCCGTCGGCAATGGCGATGAAGCAAACGTCGAGCGTAACACCAATCAATCCGTCGCCCCTTTCGGCGCAAAGCAACATGTCACCACCCCAAAAGCCCATGATCGCACCGCAGGTTACCCAGCCACAGCAACAGCAACAGCAACAGCAACAGCAACAGCCAACGTACGCAGCCGCCCGAATGGCACAGCCCGTCCATCATCAACGACCGCTGCCACCGGCACCCACGTCCGTATCCGACTGGTTCTCCCCTCCGTCACAATTCATGTCGCCGTACAACTTTGTCACGTCTAGCAGCGGCTACTTCAACGAGGCCATGGCCGGCATAAGCGGATTCGGAGGCGCGCCTGGGCCTGGTCTGGGCCTTCACAACATCACCGCGCAGCTCGAGGCCGGCGGCATGCAGTTTGGCTATCCGCCCGCTAGACAGGGCAGCCTGTCTCAGTCGCAGCAGATGGAGCTCATGGAGGACTTGGAGAAGGACGGCGTTAGTGCCATGGATGCGTACCTGCAGGACAATCAGATGAATGACAGGGGGTGGTACTAAGTTGTAGAACAATACCCCACCAACGCATACACTACTTTGCCCTTGTTTCTTCTCAATCTTGGCTTTTCTTTCCTTGTACTTGTTTTTACCTCACCATCACTGCCATTTTCACGGGAAGCACTTGGATACGAATCTAGACGGATCTCTGGAAATGGAGTACTGCGTTTCATCTTGACTAAAGCATGTACGCTGAGGAGGCAAGTTTACTGAATTTACTTCAAATATCCAAGGAAGGGGAGAGCCACAAGACGGGAAGACACAGATAGGGAATATATAAGTGACACTTCGTCCACACTCGATTCACCATCTCATAGAATTTATCATAGCAAACAGCTTGGTAAAGGAGTGACCAGGGTATCTTTCATTATTATCCCTCAAAAGACATTCATGACCTCATATCCAACCCATCCCCTCCAACAGGTGAAAAGCCCAACCTAACCAAAAACCCTTTGACAAACGAATGTGATAATGCCAGGAGCACAATGCTACATACAGCATGTTTCCTGGATTATACATTATCCAAATGAGAAATACTTGCCCCATTCCATGCCTCCATTCCGATGTCATTCTGAGCTAAGAACATTGAGATAATAACATGATAAACTAAAGAGAAAAAAAAAGGGGGGTATAAACGTGCGTAAAGGAGAGTTCATGAAGTGACCCAATCAAACGATCATGATAGTCCGTGAAAAAAAGATGATGAGAAATATCAAAGGCGGAAGATCTTGATCAGAGAACCCACAGGCCCAGAATGGCGGCAACCAGGAGACCAAAGTTCTCGCTCGGTCGAGAGAGATCGTTGGAAACAGGTATGCCGCCAGTCGGCGAAGTGATGGGACCAGTTCCCGTCGCTCCGCCGTTGCCGCCCTGGCCATTATTGTTGCCGCCGCCATTCGGGGGCGCTCCAGTAGATCCGGCACCGCCATTGTTGCCGCCTTGGCCGCCGTTGCCGCTCGTGCCGGTCGGCTCAGCGCCGCCAGCGCCGCCCGGTAATCCAGGGCTGGTTGAGCTTGCTCTCTCCAATTGCCCAGGAGAGCTGAAGCCTGTTGAGGAGACATTAGTGCCTGTTTGGATAGCAGTGCCTGTCACAGCAGCTCCCGATGAGCCAGTACCGGCTGGGGCACCGGCATCTGTCCTAGAAGTTGCTCCGGCCGAGGAGCCGGTGCCCGTCTCGGCAGAGGTACCAGTTTCAACGGAAGTTCCAGTTGAGGAACCGGGGTCAGAGGGGGACACGGTACCGGACGGGGAACCAGCGCCGGTGGAGGAACCAGCACCGGTCGGGGAATTGGTACCGGATGGGAGGCCAGCGCCAGCGGAAGAACTGGTGCCGGTTGGGGTATGAGTACCTGTCGGAGGGGGCACGGCTCCAGTCTCCCCCGTCGTAGCTGAGGAGGCTGGTGGAGAGGTGGCAGTTGCGCCATTGGAGGCCGACGATGCCGATGCAGACGCAGAGGCGGACTCCGACGCAGACCCGGACGCGGGTTCAGACGCGGACACAGATGCAGACGCAGATGCAGACGCAGATGCAGACGCAGATGCAGACGCAGACCCAGATTCACTATTCACACTAGTGGGTGTCGTACCTGGTAGAGAAGAGCCAGACCCTGTGGCCGACTCAGAGGTGCTACTGGCAGACGATACCTCGGTGCCAGAGGGCGGCTGCGAAGCTGAGTTTGAAGTGGCGATCGAGGAAGGCGGTGCTGAGGAAGCCGCGGTAGACGAAGGCGGCTGAGACGAGGCGGCGGTTGTCGAAGTCGATGTTGGCGGTGGTGGCGGGGCTGACGACGATGTCGGGGGTGTAGAGGTCACCTCTCGCGACGAGCTTGGAGAAGGACTGCTGCTCGAAGATGAGATGGGGCTGGTGGTCGAGCTAGGAATGGTGGTAGAGCCGGCCGTGGTTGTGGGAGGAGGAGGAGGCGCGGTAGTAGACTGCTGAGTCGTCGACTCCACGGGGCTCGAGGTTGTCGTCTCAATGAAAGTCGTCGGGCTTGCAGAGACCTGCGTGGTGGTCCCAAGGGTAGGCGTCGTCGTCACGATGGACTCGGGGACCGAAGAAGTCGTCGTTGTTGGCGACGTTAGTCCGTCGCAGAAGTCGATCCACTGACCGAAGTCAGAATCCAGTGCCGCCTGGGCTACCTCCCTCGGGACGCCTTCGGCTGCCGCAACGCAGTCAACACACTGGTTGTAGGCGTTCATGAAGTCGGATCCGACCTCGCAAAGCTCCGGGATCTTGCCGTCCTTCTCCGCAATCATTGACGCTATTGCGCAGGTGTCGAAGCATGTAACCGCCATGGTAGCGCGTTTGCCGAGGCTCTGTGTCTTTCGACGAACTTGCTCATTGTTCGGGCTGTAGGCGCGCCTCTTGTCTCCGGGCAAGTATGTCTGTAGAGGCCCTTCCGTCAAGGTGGCCTGTGACGCCCAGTTACCAGTCGTATAAGTCGAGGTGCACCCCTCTGATGCTTTCCGGACGACGGTGTACTCGAAAATGTCGTACGACAGGCCGAATTGCTCCGGGTTCAGATTGAAGTAGCCATCCTGCGGCTTGAAGTAGCCCGTCTTGCCTTCCTCCCACATCACCAGGTCCAAAGGAGGAGCTGGTCGACAGAACTCAGGCTGGCATTGGAACTCCTTGGGAGGAAGTCCCGGCCAGAGATTGCATCCATCTGGCTTTGGGGGATCGCAGACAAAGCCAGGCTTGCAACCAAAGGTGAGATCTGGCTCTGTTGTCAATGCGGCATAAGAGCCAATTGGCTCCGGGCAAACAGTAACTTGAAAGGTGGGAGCATCAACAATTGTTGTGACCGCGGCATGCCTCAGCTCGAGAGCATGGGTCGGCGTCGGCACAAGCTCGCCATGATCAACCTACAAAACCTTCGTATTAGTTTACTTCTAACACAATATGAGGTGTGTACTACATACCACATTTCTGTTGTCAACCACGTTTCTGTTGTCAACTCTTCGGACTTCGAGCTTCGCTGTAGAGAGAACTGCACCCGCCAAAGCGCCAATTGAGACCGACGTAAGCAGGCGCATCTTGAAAATGGGCTATTCAGCACAACGGATAGGAAACGAGTGCACCCTTGGTTATGCCAAAACGATAGAAGGCAGCCAGAAGGCTGGACCAGAACAAGAGAGAGAGCGAGAGAATAGCTGATCGCCCGACAAGTTGATTCCAGATGTGACAATGAAGAAGGAGGATGGGCTCTGGCCCTTCACGGGTGGCTCTTTATGGAGGTGCAGAACAGATATGGCGTTTAGTCGTGGTACCAGGCAGATGGAGCTGCTGCAGTCCCCCCTGGTCAACGGAATGCTCTGAGGTACCAGTCCAGTCAGACCCTTGCGTGGCGTGCGCTTGTAAGACTCACCTCACTTCACCTGGAAGCAGGAAACTGACCGCTTGGAAGCAGTGAGGCTGAATTGGGGCCGTGGGGGAGCTCAACGAATAGGTTCAGGACCTCCCCCCCTTGGCACAGGAAGCCAACAATAGCTCTCATCCGCGGAAAAGCCAACTGACAGCCATCATAATTGGTCGCAGGAGGAGGCGGCGGCGCATACGAAGACGGGTATGTGCTTCGCAGAGGTGGACGGACCCCGGCCAACGGCTCACACCTGGCCGTGAGACCGGATAATGAGGGAGAGAGCGAGACAAGGCCTCCAAGAACCGCACTTTCGGTATTGGCACTCTTCTGTCTCTACGTACGGTAGGGCAAGCCTCGTAAGGCCTAGTGTCAGGGAGCAAGACCTAGCCGGGCTGATTGTCGTGGCGCTCTGCAGGGATATGGCCGACAAGAGGACGAGTGCCTGAAGGAATCCACGAACCCCTCGCCGAGGAGTCTCCGACCATCCACAACGCTGCCATGCCGATGATGGATTGACAGAAAAGTTTCCTCCTCAGCTTCCCAAAGCTGCAACTAGCCGCAACGAGACAACACATGCGAATGACAGGGATGTTGGGTCTCGGCGAGTGGCTGGAGCAAATGCAAGCAGCTGTGGCGATGGCGCCCTCCAGGAGCCTCCAATTCTCGGCACGACGAATGGAGAAGAACCATATCCTTTCTGGATGCCACCCACGGCAGGGGTTGCGCCTCTGAGTCCCTGTGTCGGGGGAAATCAATGGCCGACCTTACGCGGATGTATCTCCAGACTGAGAACTGAGAGGATGCCCGAAATACGACACATACATACGAGCACAGCATGTACGAGCATGCATGTACCCGTTGGCGAGTGAAGCAGAGCCGGGAAGGAAGATACATGGAGCGTCGCTCTCAAAGGTCCAGCGGCACAGACAAGGATTCAGGCAGCTCCGGATGGATAATGAGCTGAGCTCTGGCTGGGTTCTCCAGCCTCTCCAGCTTTGCGGGACCAGTCAGTATCTGTTGACCGAATCCTTCGATCTCTTATCGCCCGGCAGACGCTTTCGTTCACTCCAACACGAGGCAAAAGCTGCCCGGCTCTTCTGCGTCCAATGCCACCCGGTGGTTACATTGCATTGGTAAGTCGTAGCACATACTCGAGCCGGGAGGAGAGCGGAAATGCCCGAGATGGTCGAGAGGAGCCGCTTTTGTTGCTGGTGTTCATGTGGTGACGGATCGGTCGAACGACAACAGCGACTTGAGCTCCCCGGCTGCGTGCTGGGGCGGGTCTCGCCAGGTTCCCTTTCGGTGTCGTGAAGGATCTGCGGGCGCTCGAATCACGAAGCCATTTTCTCTTGTTGTTATTTTGAGGTGGTGACCTGTCAGCAAGGTTGAGTGAAGGTTGAGGGTCGAAGGCCAGGCGAAGGAGCACCGAACAGGGCTTAGCGCGGGCAAGGCAGCAAAGTGCCGTTATTTAGAGGAAGGCGCCGGCCGCTTAGCTTCCAGTGGCTGAGATGCTCCGTCTTCGTACCACTACACAGGCACATCCACAAATGGCTGCATACAAGGTACGTAATGACAAGAATCTGTGCTCAGCCCAAGTACCGCTACCAGCACCTCAGACTCTACCACCCCAAAGCTGGCAGCTACGTGGGCTGTCTTTTGCGCGCCAAACCCCTCACCAATCTATTCTGCAGCTTGGTGATTGGTTCAGCGCGCCCCAGGTGTTCTTGTCCACTGAAGACGCGCTACAAAGGCCCGCTAAGGCTCCTCCGAAGGAACTGGGACCCCTGCTTGCCCTGTTCTAGCTCAGCCAACTCAGTGTTAGCTCCCCAAGCTTATCCGTCTGGTGTCTTCTTCTTCATCCATGCTCTCCACGAATCTATTTTCGAACAATCCTCAACTGGAGAACCAGGGCAGCATCAGCAACCAGCGCAACGGCAGCACCGGTTCCTCTTGTCAACAGAGCACATTTCCCTCTCTCGGCCTCTTCTTTGATGACCCCCCCTCCCTTCTTCCCGAAGAGGCTGCATCGCACATGATTCAATTGGCCGATTCTTGGGCATCACCACATTCCACTACACCACGCGCATTCATATCCTGGACCACCGACTGCTGCTACTACATACTACTACCATGTACTAGTATATCCATCCATACTACACAGTCGATCCTTCGAAAAGCCCACCCGTGCGGGGCTTGCCTTATGCATGTCCGTTTGCTTCTCGCCCTCGGCCGCTCTGCAGAAACGCAACCGCACCAACAGGCCAGAAGGAGGTGCAATGCCGATGAGTTGTCAACCCAACCGGCTTACCATGCGCTCGTCCGGTGCGAGAGTGGCATCCCACCTCTCAGTCCCTCATCAGGTCCGCCTGCTAGTCGTTGGACTAACTCTGCAAGCAGCAGAGTAAGCAGCTAGTATCTTTGGACAATTGCCCAGCTAGTGCTATGCTCATCTTCTACACACCGTTTCTTTTCGCCGACGAGACTGACTGACTCTTTGGCCACTTTAGACGAGAGAGACATCTCGGTCGTTGCCCATCACGCTCCACGGACAGGACAAACCAACCTTACGAGTATTACCTATCCCAGCTTAGGTTCTCTGATGAGCCTTTATGCCTGGCTCCTGTCATCATGCTGAGGAATATCTGCAATGTGGCTATGCCTGATTATAGATACAGGGACAAGTATAGCCTCTTCGAGGCCACAGCTTGTCACTCGCCAATGCTGCTATGTACTATCTAGTTGGCAGCAATGCGCGGTTTAGCCTGTTGAGCCGTCGGCACTGCTGGATCCCCATCCCAGGCGATAATACCTGCAGGAAGGGGGAAAAGAACGGCCAAGGCAACGGCTCACATTGCCACTGGAATCCCCGGGACACGGCTGCGTCCAGTCTCTGTCTGGCTTCTCACCTTTTCCCGTCATGTGCGACTTTGCGTGGCCCACAGGCTGCAGCCTTTCCCTTTCCAATGCGATATGAGATGCTGTTGTGCCTCAACCCATCCATAGCCGAGTTGAGTCCCAACTAGCGGCCCGCCTTGCGTACCACGTCTCCGGGCCTCTTAACTCAGCCCTGGCCGGTCGTTCTTGTTCTAGCTTTTGGTGTCTGCATTGATGTGCACCTTGCCCACGATCGCCTCGTTAATCGTACAGGATCAAGCGGACTTCGTGTCCAAGTCAGGCCCAGCGCGTGTATAGCCGATTCTTCAGGGGCGCCTTGCATGGGCCTCAGCAGACATTTTGCTGCTATCAATGTAGTAGCTGTCCGCTGAACACTTCGGCTGCTGCTTTCAGCTGGACGGGGCGGAAGTTTCGGGCACATTTTGCCTCTCGCCTCACCTTATCTGGTCACCGTCTCATCACCGACTGTCCTTGCTTTTCTCTTTCTCCGATGGCTTAGTAGAGTCCGATACCATATTCATCTTCTCGAGCAGCTGCATTCACACATCGTCATATGATGCACGCCGGTTGCCCCCAGTACAGCTAAAAACATCCTCCTCTGCCTCTCATATCGCCAGCTTCCCCGGCCAAATAGACAAACATGTTTTCTAAAGCTACCACGAGAGCGGCTCTTCTAGCATTGCTACTGCAGCCTATACAAGCACAGTTCAGCAACTGGGCTGATGACCAAATCAACACAACCATATGTATCTGGACCGAGCCTAGAGGTATCGTATTGCCAATAAGCTACCGCTCTTCTCTCGCCATTGCTGACGATTGAGCGTAGCGGCCCTCATCCGGAATAAAATCTACCTTGATGGAGGCAACATCAACTGGCTGCCGGGGCTAAAGGACGGGTCGAATGGGCCGGTCGTGAGTTCCGGTATGTAGAGCCTCGAGCCTATGTGACGATGCCAATGACATGGCTTGCTTACGTCGTTTTACAGGAAACTTCCAGGGAATCCTTCTGACGTACAATTTGAGTTACGCATTCACCCCTGAGACGAACGTTACGGGTCTCTTGCTGCAAGATAAGTTATCAAAAGCATTGGGAGGGCTTGGGCAGACCAACGGCGACTCACCAAACTACGTCGACGGCGCCCTCCTCGCCAACGATGACGAATTCTTTTTCTATGGCGGTTTGCCTCTGGGCGATAGGCTTCAGTATGCAGCTCCGGCCAAAGACGATCTCTTAGTCTACCAGGTCTACCAGTACGGAGCTGAGAAGCCTCTGTTTGAGCCGGGGTTTCATAGATTGGACAATCTGCCGAACAGTGTCAGTCAGTTTGTGACCTATGGTGGTGCAGCCAACGCTCCCTCTGAGAACCTGGCCTGGTACTTCTCGGGGTCGACCTCCCAATCTGGCGGAGCCATCTTTCAAAATTTCAACGACACCACGAGGCCGTCAAGGATCGCCAACTCTCTCATCACGCTTGATATGACGACACAAGGAGCTGAGAAGTGGAGCAATAAGTCTTTGCCCAGCACGATCAAGGGTCGTGCAAGCTCTGAGCTCGTTTGGGTCCCTGTTGGCGCGAAAGGCATCCTCGTTGCTCTTGGAGGTGTCGTTTTCCCCGAATACGCCAATGCAACTCGGGAGTCTCAAGATGCCAAAGCTAGCGTAAGCTCTCTGCCCGATGAGAATGCCGCTTTTTTTTATATTTGCGTCTAAAGATGAGTGTATAGGAATCTCAAAGCCCTGCCTTCATGCGCGCAATCGATGTTTACGACGTCGCTGGCAACAAGTGGTATACGCAACCAACCAAGGATGGTCCCGGCACACGAGCTCGTGGATGTGCTGTCGTTGCCACTGCGTCCGACAGCTCTAGCTTCAATATCTACTACTATGGTGGGTACGATGGTATTGACCCTACCAAACCTTTCCACGACGACGTCTGGGTCCTTTCTCTGCCGTCCTTCACGTGGACCCAGATCAACAATGGCACGGAATCCCACGCGCGGGCAGGGCACAAGTGCTTCACTCCGTATCCCGATCAAATGATGATTATTGGTGGCTACACACCCGCTTCCGGCACAACCTTGAAATGTCTAGAGGATGGACCTATCGTCATGTTCAATCTAACCAGTGGAGAATGGATGGATTCTTATGATCCCACCGTCTACGGCGACTATGGCGTCCCTGAGAAGGTTCAGGCCGTCATCGGAGGAACAGCGTCGGGCGGCGCAACAGCTACCAAACCGGCTGCCTCCGGCTGGGCAGATCCGGACCTTGGCAAGGTGTTTGATACGTCGTATGATCAGAAGAAGATCACGACCTACTGGCCCTATCCAGCAATAGAGTCGGCCCATCCTCCTGCGCAACCATCACCGACTCCTCCTTCGAAATCCGGAGGACTCCCATCTTGGGTAGGGCCAGTCCTGGGCGTTATTCTGGGCCTCATTGCCCTGACATGCATTATCGTCTTGTTCTGCCTTTGGCGACGACGAAAGAACATCGGAAACCGCTCAAGCACGAATACTAGCGATGAAGCCGGACACAGAATCCTCTCGTGGATCCGAGGACAGCCAGCCACTAACAAGGCTCCGACGGAAACCACCACTGAAGTGACCCCAGGGAGCCCCGAGATGCGTGAATACGTGTACCCCAGTTTTACGCCGTCGAATTCGGCATCTGTGCCCCCTGAGCATCATGAAATGGCCGATACGCAGTTGGTGGAGCTTCGTACGTTTACCCGCCTCCCCATTCGTTCCATAAGAGTGAAAGATTTTAGGCTAACCACAGCATTGTGTTGAAGCTGATACGACACGGGTCGAACTTCAGGATACCGGGCTGTCGCCGATGGATATTCGTGAGCGGTACTCTCACTGGTTCCCGGGCAGAACCGACGATGGCTTGCCCAGCCCAACCAGAAGCTCACTTCAAAGCACGTCTGCGCGCAACACGGTATCCCCTATCAAGGATCGAAACAGCGACTCGCATACGGCTATTTCAAGCGCCCTCCCTTCTCCCCCGCTTCCAGAAGCCGGCGAAAATGACGAAAAGTCTCTGCTGCCTACCCCTGAACCAGCAACCACCCCGGCAGCCGAGAAAAAGGCCGAGTCGACGGACGAGTCAGCGAGATCTCCAGAAGGCCATGAGTTTGTGGTGTCGCCTCCAACTGCGGAAGAGAAGCCTGGTGACGACTATCTGACAGTGAAGAAGACGTCATCTTCAAGCAGCCCAACTACGCGGAAAAGCGTGTTCAAGGAACAGCATGATGATACCTAGACCGGTGTAATCTAGAGGCGCAACAGCGCAGCAACTGCGTTGCATGACAGGTGGCCCTTTGTGGTTTACTTTTTCTTTATCATGATGATGCATCAAGTTACGAAACTGTTATATACGATTGTATACCCACTCCTACTTTTATGAAATTTATCTTGCGTTCCTGCAGAGCCTGGGCTGTGATGCAGAAGTATTTTGTGTATCCTATTCCAATCGTGTTCCCACCTTGACGTCACACATAAGAAGAAAATGCCAACCAGAAAAACCAGTGAAGGAAAGGTAGTAAGCAGCTGTGCTGCGATCCTTAGACTTCGACCAGCTCGTCATCCTCATCTGCTTCAACCTCCTTCACGCGCTCCTCTGTACCCTCCTCTGCCCCTTCCGGCGCCTCATCTCTCATGAGAACCTGTACAAGCCTATCGCATGCCTCCTGGACGCCCTCATCATTGACGCTCATGTGCGTCTCCCGAATGATGGGGTACACCTTGACCTTCCTCATCAGGTCACGGCCTTCCCGCGTCGTCGTCAACAAGGTCAACGTCTCGACGTGAGTCTGGATGTTGGACGTATCCGAGTCACGCTTCTTGTCAGGAGGCAGGAGCTGCAAATCGGGCAGCATGTCCATTGAGTCATCATCATCGTACTCTTCATTGCCGGTAATCGGCAGAAGCACATAAGGCAGGATATCAATCCCCGAGTCTGACAAAAACGACGGATGAGCGGAAACTTCAAACGCCGCGTTCTTGATGGTGTTGGCGACGCCCTTCCTGCGGATATCAGACTTGTGCTCCGTAAAGACCTTGAGCTTCGTCAGGGGGATGACGCCGTCGTAGGGCTGCTCGGCGAGGAAGTACTGCCTGACGTCGGCGTGCTTGGCGAGGTCGGCGAAGACATAGGCGAGGTAGTCAAAGTCTGCCTTTTTGTTGTAGGCGCCGTCCTGGCCCTTGACGAAGAGGTCCATGAGGTGGTCGATGACGCGGTCGGAGGAGGAGAGCTGGGAGGGGGTTTCTTGGGTTCTGTGGAGGATGGATTTGGTGTGGGAGTGCTTGGAGAGATTGGCTAGGAGCATGGCTAAAAGGTCTGCGTTTGGCTCTTCGGGATGCTTTATTTTTTTTCATCATCATGTTAGGATGTGAGAACAGTTTGGGTCTGAGTTGGGATGGGATGAGGGAGGGGAGGGACGTACGACGATGTGTGAGAAGACCATTTCGAGAAACTTTTCGTCTGTCGCTACAAATTCGAGGATTTCTTGGTCTCCTGTCAAATTGATGAGGATTGTCAAGGCATGTTCGGCGATTTTCTATACAGATGCAGAAGAATCAGCTCTCTATATCCGGCCCAGTGAAATGAGTGTGAGGCAGAGAGGACCGCCTACCGGAATGTCCCGGACAAGGAACTTGAGGTGCTTGACTGGCTTGAGTTGCTCAGTTTTGAAGATGGAAGGTTCAGTTTCTGAGAACGGGACGAGGTTCTCTATGGCGACGGCCCTGATTTGGGGGTTTGGATGAGCGATGAAGCCCACGAGCTGTGGATGTGAGGTTTAGCATGTTTCTTCTTCGTCTAGGCATATATCTTCTGAGTTGCTGGTGCGATGTACCTCTTCTAACTCTGTCGGCATGGTGGTTCCTCGTTATGCTTAATGAATGAATGATTGAAATGAAAAATTATGATGTTTTTACATATGGGATGCCTATGACGATCAAGTAAAGAATGCCGCTTATCGTATGAAATATTTTGGAGGGGCAAGGCTGTATGGGTTTTGACAGTAGTGGGGAGAAAAAATGCTTGGGGGCGGCGTCATAGGCGGTTTTTGGCTAGCTGTTTTAGGCAGTGTTTAAAGAGGTCGCATGAATGGCAAGACGACGAATTCTATAGGAGAGATTCACGCATATCAACGTGATGAATACCCGAATCAACTTATCCTGAGGCGATAAGACGTTTCACGTTCATGAGGTTTGAGTATCAATACATCTCTATGAGGAAACTCGGGAACATGCGCTTGAGATTGGTTGATCCGGGTGCTATCGCTGACCGCAGAAGATGCTCCCTTTCTTGAAAAGAAGATAGTAAGATGAATGAACCATAACTCCGGATTCATCATTTTGCCTTTTGCCAAAATTCTCCAGAATAGAAGCATTTCTCCGTAGGTAGGTATAAGTCGAAGAGCACCTTGACTGCTTCAACCTCACTTACAAGTCAAAGGCGTTGAGTCGCAAGCTGTGGGTTTTCGGTGCGGCGCGCTAAGCCTAATTCGCCGAGAGGGGTGGCAGATCGATAAGACACAAATTTTTGATTTTCTGCCCACCAACGAAGTTCGTCCGGACCCAGCAAAAACAGATTCGCACTCTGATACCCAATCTTGCGGTCGCCACGATAGTCAAAAGGTACCGCAATCAACAATATCAGAGAGCAAGATGCCCAAGGCAACGACCCCGACAGCGACGCGCCCCGGGCGGCGTCACAACCCCCTGGAAGACGATGTCCTCGCGACGGGCATTCTGCGAAACAAGCCTACCAAGAGAAAGGGCAAGGACGTTGACGAATCCGAGGAGACCTTTGTCGACTCCAAGGCCTCCAAGAACATCCTGCGGATAGGTCGTGAGCTGATGGAGGAGGAGAATGCCGATAAGCCAGTACAAAAGACCACGGTGGACAACTTTGGCTACGACTCAAGATTCGGCGAGGAGGACGGCGAGCAGAAGGGCTACGACGACGAAGAGGCCTGGGGCGACGAGGATGAGATGGTAGAGGACGTTGAGGTCGATCCTGAAGACCTTGATACGTACAGGAAATTCATGGGCGACGAGGAGGAAGACGACCTGCTGAAGCACGGCTGGGACCTCAAGCCTTCCGGCGCCCCCCAAGGCGAGTCTGTCAACCTGGCCGATCTGATTCTGGAGAAGATCGCGGCGCATGAGGCAGCGCAGGCCGGCGGAGGCAACGTCCGCGCGCCTGACGACGACTATGAGCTTCCACCCAAGGTCGTGGAAGTGTACACAAAGTAAGTAGTGCCGCTTTTCCGTGTCAATTCCACCTAGTGTTGCGGGCTCGACTCTAACAGCAGCAGGATTGGCGAGATCCTCTCCCGATACAAGTCTGGACCTCTACCCAAGCCTTTCAAGATTCTGCCCACGATCCCTCACTGGGAGGACATCATCGACGTCACCAGGCCCGAGAACTGGACGCCCAACGCCTGCTACCAAGCGACCAGGATTTTCGTCTCGGCCAAGCCTGGCGTGGTCCAGCGGTTTCTGGAGATGGTCATCTTGGAAAAGGTCCGCGAGGATATCTACGAAACGAAGAAGCTCAACGTTCACCTGTTCAACTCTCTCAAGAAGGCCCTCTACAAGCCTGCGGCATTCTTCAAGGGTTTCCTGTTCCCTCTGATTGGCAGCGGCACCTGCACACTGCGAGAGGCGCACATCATCTCAGCAGTGTTGGCGCGGGTTTCTATCCCCGTGCTGCACTCTGCTGCGGCCATCAAGGGCCTCTGCGACATTGCCGCTCAGGAGGCCTCCCAGGGCAGCGAAGGAGGCGGCGCGACTAACATCTTCATCAAGACTCTGCTGGAGAAGAAGTACGCGCTTCCCTACCAGGCTATTGACGCCCTCGTCTTCCACTTCCTGAGATTCCGCGCCGAGGACCCAGCTGCCGCCAGGGCTGGCGATAGCATGACCGTCGTCATGAGCGGGTCGGATTACAGGGCCAAGCTGCCGGTTATCTGGCACCAGAGCCTGCTGGCGTTTGCGCAGAGGTACAAGGGCGACATCACCGAGGACCAGCGTGAAGCACTGCTGGACCTGCTGTTGACACACGGCCACTCCGCCATTGGCCCCGAAGTCAGACGAGAACTGCTGGCCGGACGAGGCCGTGGAGTTCCCTTGGAGCCCCAGGGCATGGCTCTGGACGGCGACGATACGATGGAGATGTGATGCACAGGTGCATGGCACCCTCAGACAAGCGAGAGCGGGTGGTTGACGGGAACATGTTTGGCGTTTCGGCGTGTTTGAAATTGGGCAACAACAAAAATGGAATATTTCAAGTTATATGGGCGGAAGGACGACGTCCCATGAGATCATGTCACATGCGACAATACCAATCAACATTTCTTCTCTTTCTCCTGCCCACGTCGATCAAATGAAGAGTGAAGCATCGAATGCTTGTGTGATGCCAAACACCCCTGAAGACAAGACGCGGTCAAGTCTCAGGTTCCCCATAGCAGGAACATTTGTCGGACCTTCCATGGGGCGTGCGTACCTAACTCGGGTTCGTCATGGCCACGTTGACACTTTTTTTTTCAAAGACTCTGACTGCAAATCCTTCTGCTTCCTGACATACCTACCTACTAATCATACCTACCTAGTATCTTCTCCATATCAACCTTGACGAGCTCTGTGACGATCTCAAGAGGAGGTTCAATATTTTCTTTTCAACTTCCTTTTCTGTCTTCTCTGTTTCTAGAGCAATCCATTTTCTCTACCCATGTTGTTCATCTTCTATTGCGATTACCAGTCGGCAGATGTTCAATAGTATCAACCTCACTCCCACCGTTCCCCCGAGACCTGCCATCTTCCCACCTTCTGTCACGATCGTCCATCATGCCCGATGACAGACACACAAATGCAGCAGCAGGCAACACCACAAGCTCTCGTGATGTCAAGTCCGCACAGATTTTCCCTTATAAATGACCAGCCTTCTGACAGTGCTGACCGCATTTGCAGCTACTTTGATCTCGCAGTCCACTCTATACCTGGCCCACCATGTTTCCTTCTCTCCCTCGCGCCGACGGCTATGAACGCTCACGACCAGCCTCGATCTACCCCCTAGGAGAGGGCGATGCAAGACGGCGCCTTCTCAAACTCCAATTCGCCAACTGAATGGCCACAGCAGAGAACGAGGGTCAGCTCGTTGTCCGCTTCCGCCTCGAAATTCGGCGTCGATCCGCCCCGGCCGCCACACGAGGGCTACGAGTAGGTCTGGTTCCCAGAGGGATTCTGGGCGGAGAGGCAGCTTACGTCAAGCTTGCCTCGCAAGAGCAATGCCAGTTCCAACTCTCGCTTCTAGAAGTGGCGCTCACGATCTGGCAAGTCCGCGAGCGAGACGGATGCACTCCCCGAGGGGCTGCAGGCCTCCCGTGTGGCCTCCTTTTCCGGACCGAAGCCGAGATATGAGCCCCCGAAACAAGATCTGCCGCCCATTCAGCAGGTCCGGACTCCCTATCTATCCGAATCCGACCACGTATTCTCCCTTCAACACCCGACTATGGCGTCTGTGTCGCCTGGCACTGTTGCAATGACCCCATCTAAGTCGCAGCAGTCCAGCGAGAGCATTGTTGTATCGCCCGGTCCAAAGAATGGTCGACCCATGGGTTTCTCGGAGGAGCCTTTGCCTGATGGCCGTGCTCAAGCATCCTTGAAACCCGCTGCTCCGCTGAGTCCCCTGGTCTCTCCGAGGATTTTGTATCTGAAAGCCAAGAAGGAAATTGAGTCCAAGCTCAAGCATCAACAACCCGACGATTCATACCTCGACCATTCGACGGACGCTGATCTTCAGACAGGCTCTGCGCTGGGGACTGGGCGCTCTAGCAAGAAACAAAGTGCGGACGAAGACTCTCGTACGCGCTCAACGATTGAAGGCGCTCGAAGATTCCTCGCCGCCCAGAGCATCAGTAGGACGGGAACATGGTTCAAGGATGAGCATCATACTCTGAAGATAGGCCGCAAACTCTTCGGGAAGGCTCCATGGCATCGGAAGGAATCCAATGACTCCATCAACAGCGTTTCCAGCTCCGTCAGGGCAGTACTTAAGGGCCAGACACCTCCTGCGTCTCCTGCGAATCAATGGTTGAGATATACGAGTGCGTTGGCAGCCATCTAAGAGCGACGGAAGATGGTATGAAGTTAACCCTGAGCCTTCAGATAGCTATAACACATCCAATACCACGTTTCCCGGAGGTGTAAGTAGCACTCCTGCATCTGCTTTCGCCTTCCGTCTTGCCCGCATCAGCTTATACCCTGATAGGAGGCCGTCCGAGTCAGCACACCTCCCTTGGATGAAGACACGGCCGATGGCAGACCTCGTGGCTTCTTCACGTCACTGACGCCGCCCTTGGCGGACGGCGAAACCAGCACCAAGGCTACACCACCCGTGCGCTCGACGAAGCGCTATAGTGTCCATGGTCAGCCTCGCCAGTGGTGGGATCAGATGCCTCAGCGGACAGGTCGCCGCGACCACTCAGGGGCAACCGGCAACAAGTTCGAGTTCGACGTGCTGGAACACCTGCCGGGGAGCCCGTTGTGCCCTGCCGACAAACGGCACAAGAGCGGCGGCACAGGCGTGTGTGTGTATCACGGCCGGAGGAAAACCGGATCACACCTCCGGGAGAAGCTGAGTAGAGGAGAAGGAGACTATTCATCGTCGGACCTGGGTTGACGAACGGGCCTTTGCCGCGCCCCAGCTTTCACGTTTCTTGACGTGCCCGCTTCCCCTAAAAGATTGGGTTATATCTTGTTCCTGCATGCACTTGTATGGTATTGTCTCAGTTTCTAGTGAATCCAATGATATTGTATGGTGCTCCCATAGTTATAGGTGTTGTGTCCAGTCAGTTGTTTCGCCTGACGATGTATGCCGACGGAGAGTTCCAAGTCAATTGCCTAATCGGGCATTTGACAATGAACGTACCAGATTGGCGATATGCAAGAATCTCTGTGGTAGTACGTAATTGGACTCATCTTGGAGAAGTACTACCTACGAATATATAGTGATCTTTAATTAGTAGAATTGTAATAGCAAACATGAAGTGAAAAGAACGAGTTTGGCAACTAAATGACAACAGGTCATAAAAGCATACAAGATGCTACAGGTACTGATGTACCTAGGTAGTAGGTAGCTCCCAGCAACAGTGGCCTGCCCTGGTCTTGGACGAGCCGCATCGGCGCTACAGCGCTAAATTAACGCGTCTGGCCACCTGGAAAACGCGCCACACGCGTGCCAGCTTAAGTGGCAGGCAGGTCTAGGTTAACCTCATCCATCCCTCAACCTCGAACCTCGAACCTCGCAAGGGCAGGACAAGACAAATTCTCGTTCTCGCACCTCGACAGCCCTTTGACCAACGTAATGCACCACTCATCCGCTTGATGAGCGCATTGCCATTCTAGTCGTGCCATCTCTAGGCGCTGTCACACGCCCCGAGGCCAAGAGCAATGGAGCTCGACGAATCATTAGGAAACCGAAAGCGCTCCTTTGCCGAACACGACCAAGGTCTCGATTCCGAGGCCGCCTACAAGAAGCGCCGACTCGATGGCGAGAACGCAGAGGTGCCGGCGCCGGGGGCCCTGAGCAGCTTCGCCTCGGCCATCTCGGGCGTGTTTGGCTACGGCAAAAAGGCTGCGGCTGCAGAGTCAACGGGCGAGGTCGTCGACAAGGGCGCCGTTCCCCAGCCAAAGCCGCAGGCGCAGCAGCAGCAGCAGCAGCAGCAGCAGCCACTGTCCACGACAACAGCGAACAAGGCCCGGCCGGCGATCAAGCTTGCGGCGCTGCTGGGGACGAAGTGGGATACGGGAGATGCGCCGCCGAAAAAGGGGAGAGGGGGCAGACGCAAGGTGATTCCCGTGCGAGACGAGACCTTTGTGTCACCCAAGCAGGAAGCACCGCCTTCGGGCAGAGGCAGAGGCAGAGGGCGAGGCAGAGGCAGCAGAGGTGGGAGAGGCAGCAGAGGAGGCCGTGGGAGGGGGGGCGCCAGAGGCAGACCGAGGAAAGAAGAACACTTGGACGAGGAGGAGGAGGAGGACAACGACGACAAAGAGAGCATCGACGTGATTGCTGAGGAGCCCGAGCTGGAAGGTGTCGATGCGCCTCATGAATCGCCTTCAACGGTGCGCTCGATCAAGCGTCTCGACTTGGTGCCGCTTTCGAATGGCTTGGTGGACGATACTGCAGACGAGCTCTCGACGAATGAATACCCTGCCGTTGGCCCTCTGGGCAGCCGGAACTTGAACCTCACTCAAAGATTGGCTGAATCTACTGCCTCGGCGGCGTCGACACCAAAGAGCATATTATCACCAACGAAGAAACGAGGACCCCGACCACTGAAGAATGTGTCTTTCGACCAAACAAACGATGCCCAAGTCTCTACGGAAGTCTTCTTCGAGGATCTGCCAAAAGAGCCAAGCGCCAGAAAGAAGCCCGGCCGAAAGCCCAAGCAGGCTGAGCCTATCGCCGCAGCCTCGGACGAGATCGTGTGCGGCATATGCTCTAGTCCGGAATCCGAAGCACCCAACGAAATCATCCTCTGCGACAACTGCGACTTTGCCGTACACCAAATGTGCTACGGCGTGCGTGAGATTCCAGAGGGCGACTGGCTGTGCAAATCGTGCGCGCAGGAGGATGTTTTGGGCTTGGCGAAGAAGCCGGCCGAGGAGGTTTCCGAGGAGGTCGCTGACGCGGTAGCGGCGCCTGTCAGTGAGGTGCCAGATATTCCCAACCTGGACTTTCACTTGCGCGCCCTGCAGAGGGTTCTGCTGGATCGGTGTACTGGCCGGAGGTCGATTCGCATGTTTGGCCAGCAGGACCAGTACGAGAAGGCGCATCAGCTGATTGAGCAGACTGTTGTGGCGGGCGAGGGGAACTCTATGCTCCTTATCGGGCCCAGGGGATGTGGGAAGACGACGGTATGTTGACGATTACGCTGGGATCTGGACACGGTATGCTGACGCGGTTTGGCATAGATGATCAACAACATTGTCAAGGATATGTCGCGGGAGCATCGTCAAGACTTTCACATCGTTAGGCTCAACGGGTTTATTCACACAGACGACAAGTTGGCGCTCAAGGAGATCTGGCGGCAGCTGGGCAAGGAGATGCAGGTTGACGACGACTTGCTGACGCGGGTGAGTGCCAGCTTTTTGTCTCTTCTTATGGCTGATTGCATCCTTTTACTGACATTGATGCTTTCTCTTCTTCTTCCACGTGCAGTCCAACTATGCGGATACCATGGCATCCCTATTGGCACTGCTGTCCCACCCCTCCGAAATCATAGGGCAAGACGAGGGCGTCACGTCGCAATCCGTCATCTTCATCATTGACGAGTTTGATCTGTTTGCGACTCATCCCAGGCAGACTCTTCTCTACAACCTGTTTGACATTGCGCAGTCGCGAAAGGCACCAATTGCGGTCCTGGGATGCACGACGCGCCTCGACGTAGTGGAGATGCTCGAGAAGAGAGTCAAGAGCCGCTTCAGCCACCGATACATTTACCTCTCGCTGCCCAAGAACTTGGCGGCCTTTTGGCAAGTCTGCCGACAGGGGCTCATGCTCGGGGATGTTGAGCCGGAGGAGGAAGGGTTGGACCGGAGCGTCGAGGGATTCACCGAGTTCCAGGCCTACTGGGATCACAAGATCGAGGTAAGTGAGAAAGTCGTCTGTCACGCTCAGATCAACCTGCTGACCACCGTTGCCATACAGGATCTCTACAAGCAGCGAGCGTTCCAAGACCTGCTGCAGTATCACTACTACACGACCAAGTCGCCGTCGGGCTTCTTCAACGAGTGGATTCTACCACTGTCGTGGCTAACGGCGAGCAACCCAGACCTCAAGATCCCAGCCGTCGGCTCGGAGCTGACGTCGCTGGCACCGCCCGACTCGCGCCTGCACCTGCTGTCGACGCTGTCGGAGCTGGACCTCGGGCTGCTGATTGCGGCCGCGCGGCTGGACATTGTGGCCGACACGGACACGGTCAACTTCGCCATGGCGTACGACGAGTACAGCACGCTGGCCGGGCGGCAGCGCGTGCAGTCGGCGACGGCGGGACTGCTGGCGCAGGGCGGCCACGCGCGGGTCTGGGGTCGCGGCGTGGCGGCCGTCGCGTGGGAGCGGCTGGTGACGCTGGGCTTGCTGGTGCCGGCGGGCGCGGGCGCGGGCGCGGGCAGCAGGAGTCAGGGGCAGCACGGGGGGCTCGAGGCCAAGATGTGGAGGGTGGACGTTGCGCTCGAGGAGATTCCGGTGGCGACGAAGCTGAGCAGCGTCTTGGCCAAGTGGTGCAAGGAGATTTGAAGGTTCTTGCATTGGTTTTTCTTCTTCTTTGTTCTTGATTTAACGTCATGGCCTGGGACACGACACGAGGGGATTTTTGCTCTATTCTTTCGTGTATTTCTTCTGCTTTTGTTTGGTTCAGCATTTCCGTCAGTGGTTCAGGGGGGGAAAGCATAAGCATGCGCTGTACAGATACACACATTAGGTAGCATAGACGGCCAAGAAGGGTTTACGAGGGGGAGCGGGCCGTTCCTGAGATGAGACGACTAATACACGGGATTATGAACTACAAATTGCATGCTGATGAAGGGGAGATGGCAGAGCGTCTGACTGAGATGTTTGTTTATTCGTACGTGGCTCGGGATATCAGATCAGATACCGTGTCAATGAATGGCTCAGGACAATTATATCCTTCTCTCGGGCAATAATAGCCTTCTCTCGGCCGAGTGAATATAGTTGAGCTATTAGCAGCGCTCCCATCTCCACCTCCTCCTCCTCCTCCTCCTCCTCCTCCTCCTGTTCCTCCTTCACATGCTTGGCCGCGGCTCAAGACGGGATTTTGCGTGTGGTGGACAGGATACTGCCTGCAACTCCCTGATAGTAAGGCTACCTACTTGTGTACCTACCTACCTACCTAGAACCGACCTACCTATCTTGTAGATGCATTTCTCTTCCCTGCCAGTGAACCCACCAGGGTTCTTTAGAAAAATCATCGAGGCTGCTGTTTGTCGTGGTGGAGTTGGAACCTGCTCGTAATATTGAGACTTGTTCCGTGCGGTGGCTCGGGCGGAGGAACTGATGTGCCCAGAGCCCGGGCCAACCAGGGGAAAACCCCATTGTTTACATGGATGCTTCCATCTGGAAAGAATCGAACTTTTCAGTTGCTCCCTGACATTTGCCTTGTCTGTGGCCAAAGGTTGTATTGATTGTTTCCCCCTGCCCCTGGTCCGCCTGCTGTAGGATTAACACAGGGGAACAAGGAGGAGATTGGTCGTATCTGTTTAGTTAAACGACGTGATTGACGGTGAATTGGTCGAATATACGGGCGGTGAATTCGGTTGCTGGTGGTGTTGGTATTACCTACCTATCTACCTACCTGTAGTAGGTAGAGAACAAGAAGCCCGAGCTTGTGGAGTTTTGGGGAGAGGCTAAGGTAGTGTTGGAGAGACGGCCTGGTTAATGCTGCCGTCGGGGTAAATGGAATTGATGGCTGGGATTTTGTAGAGAGAGGATGCCAGAGACGAGCCGGCTAGCGAAGTAAGGTGTTGTTTATTCTGTAAAAGAAGAAGAGAGATTGTGATGGCTTATTGCAGCTCAGGATGGGACTGTTACCCGTAGGGCTGTTGCTTCAAAAGTGACAGCCAAGGTCTCTCTCTGTGTGGTGGATAGGTGAGAGGTTGGGAGAAGGGGAGGGGAGGGGAGACGGCCGGGATGATTCCGGATGCCGACTTTGACTTGGTGTCGCTGCGGCAGGGGGGGGGCAACATTGGGTGCTGCACGATGTAATTCAGTATGTACGAGCAATGGCCCGTCAAGAAAGGATGAGAGTGAAGGAGATGATGATGATGATGATGGAAACAGCAGTAAAGCAGCAACAGGTGCATGGAGGCTGTATATCGGACCACTATTAGTGATGGCGGCAGTAATGCTCTTGTGCGCATCGGCCTCGGATAGCCCACCTGACGACATTCCCATTGGATGCAACCACATGAACCTACAGCAAAAAAAGAAGTTCCAAAAGAGGCATTTCGTATAAGAGCGGCTACATACGACCTTGAGCTGCCGTAGCTGGGCGGGGGACGAGATGGCAATTGCCCGGCTGTCGCGATGAGAGCGTCGATATGCCATGCATGCAGTGCAAGTGCCGCATCATCCGCGATATCCGCTTCGCTTCGGCCCTCACAGTCACTGTACTAGTTGCCTGCCTGCCTACCTACCTAGGTAGGTAGAGAGAACAGCTCACCGGTTAGGTAGGTACTGCCCACATGAAGACGTCGGGACTTTTCAAGGCTCTGCTCAGCCCTGTGAGCGCGTTGGTTCTGCGGGTTATATACGAGTATACAGACAAGGCTCCTAGGAAACCTGTGGCGCAATAGCTGGAGCTACTGCTGTTGGTAGAAGAAGTGGCATATTTGACAGCCATGGCCAAGGGCGGGGCCGAGAGTTGGGAGAATCTAAGAATAAACGGCTGACTAAGAGGCGAGGGCCGAGCTTAGCCTTGTTTTGGCGGTTCCCCTTGAGATGGGATGACGGCCAATTACCTAGTACCTCTTCGTACCCGATATGGGGAATGCGTATTACTTGATTCCATCACCGGCTTTTCATATGGATGGCATCAATCGCAGATTCACCGGCTTCTTGAGGGTTTCACGGCATTGATGAGGACTGCCGAGCTGTTATCAGTGATGATGCATCTATGTACGAGTACGAGTACAGGTGCGATTATGATACTTGAACAGCTGTCACGTGTGCTACTATTATTACATAACATGTCCATTTGCATCTGCATCTTGCGTCAAAACCCGCCCCAAAAGCGTTCTCCACCAATCAATCCTCCCCCGAGCCTCGTCTCCGTTTCGTCACAGCCAGAAACAGCCGCGGCGTCTCATTCAAAAGAACGCCGGGCTCGTCCTTTCAACTGACTCAGCGATACCGCGAAAGAAATGTGAATTCCCTGGTGATGCCGACTCCAGCTCGGAACGTTTCTACAGTACGAGGCTCGACACGGCTGGATCCTGCAGCCACTGACAAACAAGCATCCAACCAACTACAATACTAGATCCACGGACCAACTCGCCCATATCTATCGTCAGAGCCTTATTCCATATTCTCTCCTCCTCTCCATCCAGACCCTGTGCTCGCCGCTTATTTATACCCTTGCCGCCGCCTACCTACTATCACAAGCCCGGGGCTGACGCCTGTCAGCAGAAGCGCCGCTCCAGCTAGTCAGTCAGTCAAGTCAGTCAGTCGGCTCCAGCCCCGAGCAAGGTCATCATCGCCAGCCCAGCTTGGCCCGTCTTTTTTTTTTTTGGCCTTCTTCCATTTTTCTTCTCCCTCTTGTCCAATCCGGAAAGGCAATTTCCGGCGGCGGCTGTCGCAGTCTGACGGCATCGCGGCTAGGCAAGACGCGCTGCTATTTATTGCACCACCTCTTTGCAACGACAGCCACACTCTGCTTTATCCTCATCTCCAAGTATACCTACGACCTACGCACAGCCAGGGACCGCTTACTACCTTACTTTTGTGTCCCTTGTTCCTCATACATACTTATTCCTCCTCTCTCTCCCTGATTTCGTCCGAAATCTCTCATCCGCTTCAATTCCTCTTCTCGCCGTCGCTCTTTTGCCTTGTTTAGCGTCTGTGTGGTGTCTCCTGCTTCAGCTCTGAAACGCCGCTTAGCCTCGCTCCCCCCTTCCGCCAGACGCCCCGCGCTTCGTTGGGCTCGTGATATCAGACACACACACACACACACACACACAAGGCCAGGCCAGGCCATCAGCCACACTTCTTCTTTTCCTCTCTATATATACTCACACACACACACACAACAAGACTGGCGATCACGGCGAACTCACTTGCTTTGCTCTTTGCCTTTGCTTTTGTACTGCTTTGCCGAACAGTCGCTCGTTTATACGGCCCATCCGCAGAATCGACATCCCAGACGAGTAACCGTCGAGCCACAGAGGACGACTCAGCCAGACAGACAGGCATCATGTCGAAACGCACAGTCTTCACCTCCATCACGCCCCTCCCCCCGGGCATCTCCCGCCAGACGGCCATCGACTTCCTCCACAACCACCTCGAGATGATTGACCTCAACCCTCTGGTCACCGACCGCTATGTCATCCCGCCTCCTCCCCACGCTCTGCCCGAAGAGCACGTCTGCACATGGTACTCCATCACAGACAAGATCTCCTACCTCCCCGGCAACCTCGCCACCGGCGCCATCTCCTACACGGCCGCCTTCCACGACCTGCCCATGGGCCTGCAGACGCACTGCCACGCGCCCATGGGCGTCGACCTGCGCGAGAAGTGGACGGTGGGAGGCTCCGAGCCGGGGGAGGCGCCGGAACCGATGGAGCTGGGCTTGGGCGCGCCGCGGACGGGCCTGTACATCCGAGAGGACGTCATCATCACCTGCAACGTCATGATGGCCGGCTTCATCAAGAAGACGATTAAGAAGGCACACGGCACCCTGATGGAGGCCCTCTCTGTCAAGGCCGCCAAGTCAGACGCCCAGCTGGCGGGATCGCGTGTGGATCGGGCTCAACACGCGCACAACAGACAACACTCGCAACCGCCGCAGCGTACTCTGCACACGTATGCCACGCAACTCGCACAGGAGCAGCAGCTCCGGCCGGCGAGCAGCGAAAGCCTGCAAACAAAGCCGCTGCCTCCGCGGCCCACGTCGTGGCAAGCACCCCCTACGCCGCCAACGGAGGCGTATCAGTATCGCGATCAGGGGCTCGATAACACGGCGGTTCACTATGGATATCCGCCCGAGGCCATGGCGCCCCGTGCGATGAGGACGCCTCCGCACGCATACGTCCCAGAGCTGCAGTAATACACCGAATATATCGCTTCTCCACAACCAGCAGGACTGCATGGAGGTGCTCCGAGAGTTGGGTAATGAATGGTATGTTTCAAGCATAGGGTCTGGAGTTTTCATCATGTGCTGGACACCATCACGGCGCCTTGGGGTCGTTGACAGCGACACCCCTGTTTCATGGACATTTTGCATATTTGTGTTTGGATCGTCTGCGTGGCGTGGCGTTGGCGGGACAGGGGATCTGTTAAATATTTAACGAATAGGATCCATTCGTCTCGATCAAGTCCCCAAAAACGAAGTGAGAAGAAGATGTTGCCAGTCAGATAAGTTCAACAACCAAGACTGTACAAGCCGTCACAACATAAAGCAGGTGCATTAATAGCAAAAGCAACTCGAATTTGATACCCTTCTATGCTGAATTAAAACAGGAACAAGATGGAGAGATGAAAAGACCTGATATCATCCACACACCCCGGATTGATAAACAGGTCATAAGTGTTGACAAAATCTATCCCCAGAAAAGAAGAAAAAACCACAAACCCCCACCATCTCATCTCCAAAAAGAACAAAAGGCAACAATGAATAAAGAAGAAGAACAAGACCGTCTCTGTCATTTTATCTCTCTCGTGACTACCCCAAACCTCATCATCGTCATCATCATCCTCAAAGTCCCAAAGACTCCCCTTCTCCTGTCTAATGCAATGCTCACCATGAACTTTCCAATCTTCAAGGCAGCAAAGACGCTTACAGGGCAACGACGCCGACGAGCAGGGCGCCAAAGATGGCAGCGCCAATGTGGACGAGCTTGTCGGCGGCGCCGCTGATGACGACGGGGGGAGGAGTGGGCTTGCCCTCGCCGCCGTGGGACTTGTTGTTCCAGTCCTCGCCCTCGCCGCCGTGAGGCTTGGGCTCCTCGGGCTTGGCGTTGCCGCTGTGGACGGGAGGAGCAGGCTTGACCTCGATGTGGGAAGGCTTGACGGCGCCGGTCTCGCAGGGCTGTGTGGCAGACAGTGTTAGCTGATGCTGTGTAGCGATATATATATCAGGGGGGGGGGGCATGTGATTGCTGGCTTACCTCGACGACGGTGCAGGGGCAGTCGGTGATTGTGATTGTGGTGGCCTCAGTGACGGTGAAGGTCTTTTGGTTGAAGGTGAAGGTCGTGGGCTCGGGGCAGTAGGTGGTGTACTGGGAGACGACCTTTGTGGTGGTGACGGCGGTCTGGTTGTGCTGCTTCCACTCGTGGCCGCCGTTCTGCCACTGGCCCTTGCTGGCCTCCCACTCCTTGCCCTCGGCCTCCTTGTCCTTGTTCTCCCACTCGTTCTTCTTGTCGTCCTCCTTCTTCTTGTCGTCCTCCTTGGCCTTGTCGTCCTTGTTCTCCCACTCATTCTTCTTGTCGTCCTCCTTCTTCTTGTCATCCTTGTTCTCCCACTCCTTGCTCTCACCCTCCTTCTTCTTGTCATCCTCCTTCTTCTTGTCGTCCTTGTTCTCCCACTCCTTGCTCTCACCCTCCTTCTTCTTCTCATCCTCCTTCTTCTTGTCGTCCTTGTTCTCCCACTCCTTGGACTCGCCCTCCTTGGACTTGTCCTTGTCATCGTGGTGCTCCCACTCCTTGGGATCCTTCTCCTTCTTCTTGTCCTCTTCCTCACCGTGGTGCTCCCACTCCTTGGCACCCTTCTCTTCCTCACCCTTCTTCTTCTCCTCCTCATCGCCGTGGCCCCACTGCTTGTTGCCCTCATCAGGAGTAGGGTAAGCATTCTCCTTGTGGTCCTCGTGCTTCTGAGGCTTGATCTCGTACGTGGGGACCTCAACCTGCTGCTCCCAGGCACCGTCAGCCACGGCGGCGTTGTCCTGAGGAGGAGGCAGGTAGATGCTGCCTGCGGCGGCCATGCCGACGAGGGAAACGAGGACTGCCTGAGCGGTACGCATTTTGATTTTGTTTGATTGTTTCTTTTAATGAAGATTGGGGTTTGTGTGTGTGTGTGTGTGTGTGTTTGAGAGCGAGTGTATTAAAGAAGATGGAAAACTACGTAAAAGTAGTTATAAGAACAAGGATTTTTTAAAAGAGTGAATGTGTGTGAACGAATGTTTTGTTGCTGGAAAGGGAGGGGGGGCAAAGAAAGCGAATGTGGAAGCTTGAGTGCTGGATGCTGAGAAAGAAGAAGAATTGAGCTGAGGGCATCATCACCGGGGGTTTATATAATGGGGGAAACGCCAGTTCGGATCACACGAAAACAGCGTGTTTTCCTTCGTATGTTTGGTAGTAGTGGTCACATTGCATTTTCCATTTTCATCAGAAACATAAACAACAGAAAAGAAAATATGTGCCCCATTGGTATTAATTGTCGCGAGATGTTTGGGGTTGGGAAAAGCACGCAACGGAGGAGCAAAGCGTCCGTCTGCGGCGAGACATTTCTCCCAAGAATCCAAGTTGATGCAGAGAGAAACCACCCACCACTCACGCATTCAAACTCACACATACTATGCAACGACTACGACTACGATCGCGTTCGTCTCGTCCTCCATTTCTCACCTCAGACATTTTTCTTTTCCTTCTGCTCCCCATTTCTTGTCACGATCGTCACTTTCGGGATCAAACGGTGCTGCATTCCTCCCCGCCGCAAGCAAAAATAGGGATTGCATGCCAGACAACCCCCCTCGTCGCCTTTGCAACGACCGCAAACTTGCGACTTGGAGTACGCCAGCCTCGCATTTCTCACTACATTCCCAGCACAACGCCAGAGAAAATAATAATAATAGAAAACCAGGACACAGCGGGGGAAATATGCAAAGTGCCTAGATTAAGGAAGAAAACATCCGTGATGATGCCATCACTTACGGCTCTGGCGAGTGGATTGATTATTGGAATTAGACCTGCAGTCACACAAACATGGGCTCGCAAGTAGTCTTTGTTTTCATTCTCATTTATTGCAGTCTCTTGGACCGTAGCATACATACAAGGTACTCAAACATACATGTTGCCGGCAGGGCTTCTTTTTTTATCTTTTCACAATCGTCCAGTCGTCGATGCCTCCATTTTGCCGTTGCCGCCGACGCAGTGTCTCACCGCAGGCCCGTTGCAAACAGAAAGAAGGCAAAAAAAAGGCATCGCACGACGACTTGGCTCTCCCTGCCTCGGTAATGCATAACGCGTCCATGCGCGCGTCCAGTTCAGCCCCAACTGTGCCCTCCTTCGTTCGTGGCCGCAAGTCAACCCCCTTCCTCGAGTGACGTATCCCCTCCTCACTCAAAAATCGGAAATGCAAAAGCCGAATTGCAAAATAGAAAAAGGCGAGTGCACATAAAACAAAGCCGCCATGTTGTACCGTGTTCGTTGCCATGTGACCTCTCTTCTATACCAGATTTCCGTAAACGCCTTCCACTCTTGTTTCTTTTTTGTTTGTTTTTCTCTCTCTCTCTTTTGTCCAAATCGCAGATCAAAGTCAAAAGAAAACCCTCAGCCGGTCGTAGCAGCCATTAGAATCCATCCTGGCGGTGCAACCAATGCTGCAACCTAATGCAAAAGTTCCAGTATGTCATGCGTGCAAATGCAACCGAACATGGGAACCAAAATGGACCAAATGCGAGAGTAAATCGGGAAGATGGGGGAGGAAGATGTAAGAAAGTAGTAACAAGAAGGCAGAAAAGAAAACAAGAAAAAACAACAAGTGGCAAATGACACTATGAACACCGGTTCGATGCAGATATGAGAGCAGAAATCTAGTAGGTATCAAGTCGTGCCGCCCTTTGACAAAGCAAATTATGGCCAAACCCCCTTCAACCGATGGGGTGCGGGAAAAAAAGAAAACAGATGGGAAAAATATGCGGAAAAGTATCGAGTCATGTGCCGGTGAGTCGTCGCATTCGTGAGAGGCTGCGTTAGAAGGCGCCTGTCATCCGTCGTGAGCATGTACCCTGAAGGGGCCATTACTTTCGGTTGGAGCGACTGAGGCTCCGCTCGACGCCTCGTGAAGAGCCATCAAGGTTGAAGTTTTGCAGCTGCTGCTCGTATTTGGCGTTGCGCAGAAACTTGGGCACAGAGTCCTGGGATTGAGAGTCAGTTAAGTCAAGCGCAATGAAAAAGATAAGGCAAAGTAAAACTTACACTAGCCATCAGCTTGAAGACGGCGTTTTGCGCAGTCTCAAAGAGAGAAGTAACCTCCTGCAGCGTCTCAATCATGCCGTTCTCTTGACCAACAGCCTTGGTCATGCGCGTCGCCAGGTTGTTGCGCAGCTGGTGGTCAATGTTGAGCTCGCACGGCGAGCCGGGAGCCAAGAAGGCGTTGTAGATGCCGTAGGCCTGGGCCATGATCTCCTTGATAATGTCCATCGAGTTGTTGGAGGGAGCAGACTCGGCTTGGCGGATGGCTGCCTTACAGCTCTGCACAAAGTCGTTGACGTCCTTGTAGAAGGAAAGGTTCTCCTCGCAGTGCGTCTCGCGCAGGTTCTCGCGGAACAAGAGGCGGAGGGCCGGGTCGTTGAGGATCTTCTCGAGACGCTGCGTGTTGGAGTCGCGGACGACGCCGTTGCGCTGGGAGCCGGTGCCGGCCTCGCTCTCGGAGGGGCGGCCGCGCGAGCTGGTGCCGTTGATCACGTCCTTTCCTCGCTGCGAGATCTGGTAGACAGAGTACTTGGTCGGCTGGAACAGATGGCAGCCAGGGTTCTGGAGCATGAAGGATCTGTCCTGGACCACAGTCTCAATCAACTCAAACTCGACGAAGAGGGACGCAATCTCAATGGCCTCTCGCTTATCCACAATGGTGCAGCAGTCGATCAGCCAGTCGGCGCAGGCCTTGCCGGTAAAGGTGTCCTTGTACACCTTGCCATTCACCCGACGCTCGCTGGCCATCTTGACACCGGTAAGGCCGTCCTCGTAGTCGTGCAACGAGTCCGAGTCGGCCGCGGCCACGTTGGGCTTGACGTTGCGGCTCTCGGTGCCGACGAAGCGGCGGAAGATGACCTCGACGGTGCCGCGATCGCTGAGGATCTTGTCGCTGTGCTGCTCCCTCTCGAGGATGACCAGGGAGCAGCAGTGAAGGCTGACGAGCTCGGCGACTTGCTTCTGCTGGATGCCGTTTCTAGCGCAAAATCGATCCAGGATAGCAACGCCCTTGGCCGTCAGCTGCCAGACAGACCCCTTCATGTTGTAGACGGGCTGCATCTTGCCATCGGCAGACTCGATGAAGCGGGCCTCCACAAATCGCTGGCAGATGGAGCGAGCCATGTCCTTAGCCATGGAGAAGGTGGTCGTGGTGGTAGTGGTGACGATCCTTGAGGGATCCTTGGGGTCAGGCATGCGGTTGGACTGAGAGAACTTGAGCGATCCAAGGTTGTTGATAGCATCCTCGGACAGAAAAGTGTAGTCCACCTTGGTCAGCCGCACTCTGTGGGAGCCGAGAGGCAGAAGGCTGACGATCAGTGTGGAGAAGAGATCCTTGAAGTCCTATTGTTTCCAGGTGAGTCGGACGTTTTGCATACATAAGCATGGGGAGAAAAAAAGAGAAAGAGAGTAGGAATGATGAGAGGCGAGATGAGAATTCTGCAAACTTCGCTCAAGTTCTCATGGAAACCTTGATAAATAGCATAGGAGTGGGGGGAAAATAAGAAAAAACGTGAGAGAACGAGCACGCTTTGAAATTTCAACGTACTCTAGTAAAAGGCCGGTCATCATCGGTCATGCGCAACAAGCGCGAAGATGTCTGATGCATCTTGCTTGGAGGTGCGGATTCAGAAACGGGAGAGTGCAGGGCGGACGAGGCCGACGACGACTGCTTGCTGTCTCCCTGGGTGGACGACAGAGACTGGCTCGACGGGTAGTTGAGGGCGGTGGGCCGGTCAGGGCTGGCGGGCTCGTCCCTCGGTTGGTGAGAGGACGGGGTGAGCGAGAGGCGGGCGAGCGTCGAGTTGGACTGGCGGCTGCGGATCACGGGCTCTGAGATGCTGGCGATGGCGCTGTGGGTTCTATCCAAGGCGGCGGCCGCAAGTGAGAAGATGCTGCTGCCGGTGCGCGTGTGGCGAGTGGCAGGCACTGGTGCTGGCACTGAGGCTATCGAGACGGAGCTGGCGTGGCGGCGAGACTGCGAGTGCGAGTGCGGCTGCGAGTGCGAGACCGAGTGCGAGTGGTGGTGGTGAGCGTGTGAGGATGAGGAGGAGGAGGAGGAGGAGAGTGAGACTGGTGGTGGAGATCTGAGGCCGTCGAGGCGACGCTCTGCTGAGGCTGCGGCTGACGCTGATGCTGAGGCGGCACTTCGGGCTGAGGCGGTCGTGAGAGACTGGGCTCGGTCGGGTTGCTGTCTCGATGCAGGAGGCAGAGGCTCGACGATTGTGTTTAGAGGTTGCGACAAGAAGGCGGCCATCTGTGGGAACAAGAAGAAAAAGAGTTAGAAAGTTTGGGGAGATTTGAATAAAAAAAGGTCAACCTATGGTGACCTTAGAACTCCTTTGGGGGTGTGTACGCTGAAAACAAGCCTGGAGAGGGACCTGTAGCGGGTACTTTGCAGCGGGCAGGGGGGGGAGAGGACCGCTGAACGCTGCACCCTCGCAGCGCTGTGGAACTGGGGGGGCGTCTTGGAGGGGAGGCTTGGAGGGGGAGTGGCTACAGCGCATGAAGCCCCGGGGGTCACTAGCGCGGGTCTGCGTACCAGGTACTTTGTCCTTTGCGCACTTCTCCGAGAGCCCGTGCAGCAGCAGGCAAAATGGGCTGATGGGGGGGAGATTGGGCAAGGAGGGAGGAAAGAATAGGGAACAAGGCCCGGGAGGAGCCGAGTCGAGAGGTCTCGAGAAGGTCCTGGAGTGCTGGATGGAATTGACCGAGTGGTGGTGCTGTGCTTTGGCCTCTCTTTTTTTCTTGTTGAGGCCTTCTTCTTTAGGGGAGCAGCGCGCAGGCGAGATGAGGAGGGGGGAACAGAGAGGATGGACCGAACTCAGACTGACGGACTGGCTGACGAAGTGTCCGATTTGGGGGGGAAGCTGCCCGTGTTTGTTGCAACTGCGTACATGTATCTGCGATGCGTGCCACTGGGCCAGGCAAGATGCAGAGCAGAATTGCAGGTAAATGCAGGTAGTAGACTGCAATGCAGGACACAGAAGCGTGGAAGAGT